TCACTCACTTCTGACAGTGCATTCAAACAGGGCTGCCATTCCCAAAAAAATTAATGCTTTCTTATGATACTTTTGGGAAACGCAGCCCTGTTTGAATGCACTGTCAGAAGTGAGTGAGTCTTGCAACATTTGAGTGTTCAGATAAGCAGGAAAATAGTTCTATCCTACACAATTACTCGCTAACAAAGGTTATTTGTCCAATTCAATGCATATTGTACGCATTATTATTATTATTATTTTTGTTAAATAAACAAAACCACTGGTAAATAAAATGCACCTTAGCATCGATATTTTTTGTTTGAGTATCGATACTTTCGATACTCGCGTCAGTATCGATATATCAATACTTCGGATCGATACGCCCATCCCTACGTCAAAGACAGCACATCCACACTTTGCTCCATCCTTGTTCTGCTCTGTCACTCATCGACAACCTGCCTGTTCTGTCTGAGGGCCGTATTTTTACCACAGGTACAGCCTGCTCTGAGCATCGTTATGCACATTCTGCTCACAGACCACGCAAATAAAACACGTGACGTTTAAAGCATGTTTGCAGGGTGTGCATAACAGTCCTGAGCACAAGCTGTACCGGTGGTCAATAAGAATAAAGCGCAGATATGATGTTCTAAATGGACGTCGGGAAAGGGATATTGTTAGACCGCCCGCTCCCGTTCAAATTACACCAGAGTTACCGACCGCTACTGCGTTTTATTCGGGAAAATAATCCCGTGGCGCGAAAAATCCGGTCGGGTAGCAGGAATGCAGACCTCTAGTATGAGCTGTAATGATGCAGCTCTATTCTGGAAAAGAGAGCAGGGAGCAGCAGCTCATTTGCATTTAAAGAGACAGGCACGAAAAACAGCGTGTTTCTACTTCCACTCAGAATAGGCATTTTCAAAATGATATAATAAATGATCTGTGGGGTATTTTGAGCTGAAACTTTACAGACACAATCTAGGGACACCAGAGACTTATATATTACGTATTGTAAAAAGGGGCATAATATGTCTCCTTTAAGTAACTTGTTAGCAATGTCATGTTAGAAATTCCCATCTGAGTTTATCAGGTCATGCGCTTCAACCGTAATTCTAATGAGCTAGAATAAACATAGGCTTCATGTGAAATTACATAAAAAGAATGGCCTGCTATGGTAAAGAAAAACCCAAAAAGCCACAGGCCAGTGATACCATTTCTGTAGGTAAGTTTGACGGTGACCTTGTAATGAGACATCTACCAGTCAAAAGATGAAAAAACACATATGTCAGTGTAAACTGTAAAAACAGAAAGAAAGGTAAATAAAAATCGAATTTGAATCATTTTATTTATACTGTAGGTTTGGTGAGATGAACAAACTCTCTTCTGATGAGCATTTTAGCCTCATCCAGTTGTTGCGTCTGGTTGGTTACTGTGGGTTTAGCTCTTCAATGCATGTAAAACACAGACTAACGCAAGCACTGAAAGAGAAAGCTGTAGGAACCCAGGCCAGATATCACATCTGCAACCATGCAAGAGGCAGGACCACAGATACAAATATATATGTAGTTCTAGACTGGACCGGATTGCATTTGACCCAAATCTCTGCTTCTTGAAAAAAAGTGGTATGCCACCACTCTCCCCCGACACTAGTTTCAATGATCTGGTCTGGATTGAGTAACTGGACATGACCGCAAATCTCCTCGCTGCAGTGCAAGTGCTGTTTGTTTGGCAACTTTTGCACCAAGAAAATAATCGAAAGTTCCAAAATGTCTGTTAGGTCTAAATGGAACATGAATGTACATTTAAGACAAATTCAAACTAAGACTTAATAAACCACTCCATTTCATGTGGCTTTTAGAGATATGAGATGAATTCTTGAATATCTGGTTTATATATAGGAGCCTTACTGGGCAGTCAGTACAATTATTAATTTTGTGCAGATAATTGGGGGGATAATTGCCCCACAAGCTTTACGTTTACTCCCCTGGCTGGAAGGAAACCTTACCTAACGTCCATAGCATGAGGAGCATTAATAAGTGGTCAGTGGAACTGATCCAACCCACAATGTGCTAAAACTACAAATCTGAATTAAATTAACACTTCTGTTAATTATCAATTCACCTTTTTAGGGATGCACTGCTGCTCTATGGTATACTGTTTTACAGCATATAAGATTAATTTCCATGAACTGAGGGATTTCACAAAGACATACAGTACACAGGAAAACACACTTTCATTCTCTCTTTCACTCACACTCCAAACAAGCACTGACAAACTTCTGTGTAGTTCATAAAACAAATACCGGTGATGATCAAGTTAGGGACTCGACAGCCTGTAAGGATGGAAAGTGCCAGATCTGACAGTCTTTAAGAACAAGCTGTGGCTTTAAAACACAAATGTTGAACTTTTTGTCATTTGATAGTCCGTCTGCTTTTCACCTGCAACTTTCTCAAGAGCTCCTCTTCCCTCCATACATCCCACACCTCACAGCCACCAGAAGCGTATGTACACGATCAGCATGATGAAGAAGACTCCACCCGCAGCTAGCTTAGCATATGTGGAGCGAGTGTTCAGGTACTTAGCGTCACTTCTGTATTTCTTGGACAGGCTGGACAAGTTGCTGGCCTTTGAATCCAACGCTGAGGAAAAAAACATGAAAAAATAAATAGAAGAAACCTCAAATATACAGTACAGTACTCAATTTTGCAGATTTAGCTCAGGGATGTTCAACCTTTTCAGGCAAAGTACTCCTTAGTAGATAGAGAGACTGAGGAGGGGCCTACTGTTCTACACTACTGTTGCGGTCAGTATGATTTTTCAGTGTCAAGTCAAGTCATCTTTATTTATATAGCGCTTTTAACAATGCAGATTGTGACAAAGCAACTGAACAGCATTAATTAGGAAAATAGTGTCAATAATGCAAAATGACAATAGTAAACACTAATTTTTCAGTTAAAGACAGTTCATCATTGAATTCAGTGATGTCAACATCCAGCTCAGTTTAAATAATATCTTTGCAATCATGTCAACGATATCGCTGGAAATGAAGTGTCCCCAACTAAGCAAGCCAGAGGCGACAGCGGCAAGGAACCAAAACTCCATCGGTGACAGAATGGAGAAATGGAGTGTTTTTTTTTTTGTTTTTTTAAAGATGTCTCTTATGCTTTCCGAGGCTGCATTCATTTGATTAAAAAATGGTAAAAACAGTAATATTGTGAAATAATATTACAATTTAAAATAACAGTTTTCTATCTCTATAATATTTGAAAAATGTAAGTAATTTATTGCTGTGATGATAGCAAAGGTGAATTTTAACCAGTCATTACTCCAGTCTTCAGTGTCACATGATCCTTCAGAAATCATTCTAATATGCTGATTTGGTGCCCAAGAAACATTTCTTATTATAATCAACTTTGAAAACAGCTGCACTGCTTAGTATTGGAAACTGTCTTAATTTTTTTCAGGATTCTTTGATGAATAGAAAGTTCAAAAGAACAGCATTTATTTGAAATAGAAATATTTTGTAACATTGTAAACGTCATTTTTAATGCACTTTAAATGTCATTGCTGAATATTGAATTATTTCAAAAAACAACAACAACTTTGTTTTATGTGTAAAAATTAGATTTTCATTTGAACCTATATTAGTTCCATATTCATACATTTACATTCTTTGTTAGTGTAATGTTTTGTTAATATTTGTCATTAAAGCCTATAAAATCATATTGATTTGTACAATCTTTTAATTTAAATTTTTTTTTAAATAAGGTAAGACGGTGAAACAGTCAGTCAAACTAGCTTTTTAACTTCAGCTTTGAAATGGTCTTTTACATGCCTCGAAAACAGATTTTACAGGTCAAAGAGAGAAAAAAAATGTTCATAAGCAGTATTTACCAGATAAGGCCTCCCCTCTTTGCAGAACTTCTTCTATGTTGGCCACCATGATTCTCTGTACATCCTGTAACTCTGTGTTGATGTTGCTCAGGTTCCTACGTGCTCTGCTGTCGATGTATGACTTTTTGGTTTTCTGAATATATGTATCTTTGGACAGGTAAGAAAGCAGCATTACAAGATTGTCTCTTTGACAGGAAGTAAATAAAACTAGCTAATGAGAGAGTGAGGGTTCTTACCAAACTCTATGAAGGAGTAGGGCCTGGAGATCGTGGGCACCTTCTTGCCATGCTGTTCATGAAACTCTGCCTGCAGATCTTCGAGATAAGCGAAGGCTAGCTTTTTAGGAAACCCAGCCTCACAGAGCACCAGATAGCAAACGCCTTTCTCTATGACATAGCTTTGAAAAGAGGTGAGAAGCCATTTTTTATTAGCCATATGTTTCATCTATCACATATTGTTGTGTGAAAAACTAGAAATAAAAAGTACAGTGATCATGAAATCCGTAATCTCACCTTCATGTGATCAATTATTTTATTAGTTGTAGTGTACTGTTCACTTACTGGAAGGCCATTGATCCAGCCTCTAAGGTGCATCGGTTTGGACTCTGTTCATTTAACTTGCGGAAGAGCTGTTTGGCTTGGCTCTGATATTGCTGGAGATCTCGGCCCATCTGAGAACAAAGGTGCAAATTTATTAGATATTACATTTGACTCAATCCTCTTCAGATGGATTTTACAAAGCTAAAAATGAACAAACCTTTTCATTTCCCTTCATGGCAGCATGAAAGGAGGAAACGTAAAGATGTTAGACCTAAGTCAAATGAGTAGTCACATTAACACTATTTGGAGAAACTATAGGGAAGCTTTTTTCTTTACTTCTTCCAAATCTACTAAAGCCCAAAACTTTGTCTTGGTTCTCTAAACATCTACAACAAAGTTTTAGCATAAGAAAAAAAATGAGAAACATAGGAAATAGGCCACTCTTATGAAGATGTTTTGCATCAGTTTAACCCCAATTATGGCAGTTCAGCTGCACATGAGGAGTTACAGGTCAATCAAACCAGTCAAAAACAATACTGAGTGAAAAGTGACAAGCGAGTCACATACTCTTCCATTATGTTGAAGAGGAACACATCATGTTGATTTACACATCTAAAGTCACATAATATGCATATCACAGAGATAAATAAACCACAAAATTAACTGGGAAAATTATGCAATTGTTTACTTGTCAAGTCATTCTAAATTAGGGATGCTTTTATGTACAGTACATATTCAAGATGCACTTCACACATCAACGTTGGTCTCTTCCTCACACAAAGTTACCATACAAGTAGGGATGCACCGATATGAAAATTTTGGCCGATACCGATAACCGATTATTCTTTATTTTTGAAAGCCGATAACCGATATGTTGGCCGATAAATCTATATCCAAATTGTTATATACTTTTTGAGAGCCTGATTAGTATAGATGATGTGGAATATACCATATGAATCATTTGGTCCCTTTTTGGAGCTTGACAGCTCCTGATCACATCACTATATGCTTTCATTGTATAGAACAAAATGGAGCATGTTATTTACAAAAATATTTACAACTCTTATTTTGTGCTACAGAGAAGGGGAGTCACATAACATAAAGGTGAGTATATGATGACAGAACTTTTTTCAGTGAACTATAAAATAAACATTGAAATAAATCATCTTTATAAAAAAATAAAGAATGGTTAAATACAGTTATTTACATTTTTTAATGTTATATTTATTCCTCATTGCATCAGGTAATTGAATATACTCTCATAAAACATGAATACAATTGAGTTTTTGAGGTAATGCCTCGGACACCATACATTCAGGGTTGAACCTAAAGTGCTTTCCTATAAACATATACAAATTGTATTATAATTAAGTTATAATATATACCTGGAAACTTCAGGAAAAAACGTAAAAGAATTCTCAAATCTTTTATGATGTAACCGACTTAGTATGGAGGCAAGACAAATGGTGTGACATGACAGAAGAGGGCGCTGTAACCGATCAAAATTATGTGAATCCATCTAATGAAGCCTCTCTCTCTCTCTCTGTGACCAATTACATCTTTCAAACCGAGAACGAACGAGATAGAAACAAATATAATATCTCAAGATTTACTACACTGTTAGGTCCCAAATAAAGTATTTCAAATGAATGCGAACACTCCAACAGATGTCTAGTTATAGCAATCTGAGCTAATAAAGGCCAGATTAAAACAGTTCTCTGATGTTGTGGATTACAAATCCCGAGAACTAGACACTTTTAGAAGTAAACGTCATGTTTTTAAAGATATTGCTCTTTGACTTGATACATTTCCAGCACACATAGGCCTAATATAACTTATACAACACACAGAGAGATCACTGAGCTCATACCTGCTCGTCCTCCTGCATTGAAGCCGCCAGCGGCAGTCCGTCCGCCAGCCGCGCGATCATTGTCAGCAGCACCATTTCGCTGAAATGTCAAGATGTACGCACGGCAGGTGTATGTGAAGCGGTTAACAGCTGTAAAAATGTCTGTGTCTGGATTGCAGCTTCACAACACTCCTCCGTACGCTGAGCTGGCCGGAAATACGTGAGTAGCTGGCGTCGCTGTATTATTGTCCCGCGGGGTTTTACTGTTTTTAAACCACTATCATTGGTTCCGTATGTGAATAGGGATTAGATATTGTTATATACTGACTTTGAAGGACAGAAGTTGATGTTAAATATTTAGTTTTGGGTCATTTATTCGATGTTTTACCAGGGACAGTTGTTTTCACCAGTCTACCACGTCCTCTAACAATATCTTGCTGTCAGTTAACCCATTATTTGTCCACAGTGGAATATTTATTCATATAAGTTTACATCAAAATAATGTCCTTTTAAAATATATGTACATACGTTTCTGGACATAAACTAACTCATCCAAAGTGATGGGTGTGCTTGTGTGTGCCAGCCCCACAAAATCACAGAGAACCTAAGCTTAAATTTTCATTAAAGCTTCAATAGTATTTCAAAACTATGGTCTTTATGATTTCTGACCCCCCTCGAAGATCAAATCAGTTGCTCTTTAACATGATGTCTGGCGTGTTTATTAAGAGGTCTCAGTTAATGGAGACAGATACGGCAGGTGCACTCAGCAGACACTAGATGGCAGCATTTCCAATATGGAATAACAAGTCTTTTGGACAGAGTCCTGGGAATAAAGGACTAGAGACATTTCTGTACCAGACAGTCTCCAAGGATCAAAAAGAAAAACACTTTCTTGATCACAACATGAGATGTTGCAAAAGTAATTTAAAGGGTTTGCACAATATGTGTCCAGTTAAAGTAAAACAGTCTCTAATTTGTAGTCAGGCAGCCTTTTCTACAGGAAACGTGGTCATGACCTGAATTTTAAAGAGCTGGGTTGTCTTGTTCAGACACGGTTTAGTTCTCTTTACTTGTATTCTCACTGAAAGGAAATTGCTACTGTTGTTGAAGGACTAGAGACATTTCTGTACCAGACAGTCTCCAAGGATCAAAAAGAAAAACACTTTCTTGATCACAACATGAGATGTTGCAAAAGTAATTTAAAGGGTATCCACAATATGTGTCCAGTTAAAGTAAAACAGTCTCTAATTTGTAGTCAGGCAGCCTTTTCTACAGGAAACGTGGTCATGACCTGAATTTTAAAGAGCTGGGTTGTCTTGTTCAGACACGGTTTAGTTCTCTTTACTTGTATTCTCACTGAAAGGAAATTGCTACTGTTGTTCCTGCTGCTGCCGCTGATAAATGGCCATGTACCTTGTTATACTGCTCGTTTCGATCAGTCTGTGGAGTGAAACACTGATTAGGTGATGATAGTGCAGTCTCGGATAATGTGTCCTGCTGAGACAGTAGTGAAACATGAACCATACCGTTTCTACAGTTTTTCATACAAACAGGTATTTAAGACAAAAAAAAAAGATAAATAAAAAGAAATCAGACTTAATTTCATTCAGTTGTTTTGAATGATCTAAAAACCAGAATGTCATCTGAGGAGCTGTTTATGTGAGATTATTAAATTAAACTAAAAGACAATGGAGGCAGGAACATTTCATCCACTTAAAAGGTTTGATTTGCTCTACGTCATTCTGCCAGATTTCCATCACAGGCTTGAACAGAGAGGAAGTCTGATAATAATGGGCATTGGGCAATACCGATGACATAACAGCATTATGACAGCTGGATTAATCAGACAGAAAGAGAGGTATATTCTATCCCTTGTCAATTTCTTCATCAAGCAGAAATTAGGAAGCCTTCAATGAGTGAGGTAAAATGAAATCAATGAGAGCTTCTAGGCCAGGATTTCTACAGTTTTTCATACAAACAGGTATTTAAGACAAAAAAAAAGATAAATAAAAATAAATCAGACTTAATTTCATTCAGTTGTTTTGAATGATCTAAAAACCAGAATGTCATCTGAGGAGCTGTTTATGTGAGATTATTAAATTAAACTAAAAGACAATGGAGGCAGGAACATTTCATCCACTTAAAAGGTTTGATTTGCTCTACGTCATTCTGCCAGATTTCCATCACAGGCTTGAACAGAGAGGAAGTCTGATAATAATGGGCATTGGGCAATACCGATGACATAACAGCATTATGACAGCTGGATTAATCAGACAGAAAGAGAGGTATATTCTATCCCTTGTCAATTTCTTCATCAAGCAGAAATTAGGAAGCCTTCAATGAGTGAGGTAAAATGAAATCAATGAGAGCTTCTAGGCCAGGGGTGTCCAAACCTGGTCCTGGAGGGCTACTGTCCTGCAGAGTTGAGCTCCAACTTGCCTCAGCACACCTGCCCTGATGTTTCTAGTATGACTAGTAAGATGTTGATTAGCTGGTTCAAGTGTGTTTAGTTGGGGTTGAAACTGAACTCTGCAAGGCAGTGGCCCTTCAGGAGCCCCTGTTCTAGGGCTCTCTAACAACCAAAAAAAAAAATGCAAAAGCCAAAGAAGGTAATACCAAACAACAATAATAAAAAATCATTACTGAGTAAACAGACATTAAGAAACAGAAACTTTCAAATTAAAGTGGTTAGATTTCAGGCTATTATGAGACAGAATAAGAACCTCAAAGCAATATCTTGCGTTCAGTTATGAATAATAATTTGTATTTATTCCATTTCAACATACAAAAATTTCCCTTTTTTGAGCAGTATTCTGCAAACATGAGAAACTCATAGATTAAGACAGTGTGGTTCATGTGATTTTCAGCATTCACATTTGAATAGAATATGAAATGAACTTATTCTGTTTGAAAGTATATCTAAAATATCACAATCAGATAAATGGATTTTGTGGTACATGTCTCAGAGAAGATGATTTTCATCCAAAATTACTTACAGTGCACTTGCTGCGAGTAATGCCATTTGTCACATAGAAATACTTTTGGTAGTGTTTTGCTCAAGGGTGGTCCTGCAACCACTGCCTCAGCAGCACAAATACTTAATTACATCAAGATCAGCTAAAAGAGGGTAATTGATAGCATTAAAGATTAAAAACAACAAAAATTACTTCATATGTGTATGCTTTTTAGCCCATGTCAGCATAAGACAAGAACAAACAAAATGTGCAAAACTCATAAAGCATTTAGATATACAAGATCCAGTATATCCTGGTGTAAATAAATCCGTAACGCTGAGGATTATTAGTAACTCTGTTGGGTGATTCAAGTAGGTCCACTGAAATTTCTATTTTGCTAATGTTATTAATCACAGAAAACAAAACACTAAAGACTTTAAATGTGTTAACAATAAAAAAAATAAACATTAATAAAAGCAAGTATAAAGTATGAAATGTAAAAAAAAAACATGCAATACATCAATATACTGTAGTGTAAAAAAATGTGGTACAGTTTACAGCTCGCTAACACAAATTATTTGTTTGGAGTTCCAGGTAGGTTCAATAAAATTTCTTTCATTTTAATGTCCCTGAGAGAAGTCCTTGACTTTCTGTGCTATAGCCTGGGCCTTTGAGACAGGACATGGCAGCAGCGGGAGTCGAGGGGGACCCATTGCTAACCCTGACACTTCACTCATCACCTGCTTATTCACGGACACATCAAAACCTGCAGAGCATAAATAATAATAATCATAAAATAATGAAAACTTCCTTGCAATAATACGCACAACACCACCAAAGACAAGTCTTACTGACACTGTTCAAATGTTTGGGGTCAGTAAGTTTTTTTTTTTTGTATTATTTAGCAAGGATGCATTAAATTGGACAAAAATTACAGTAAAGATGTTTATCATCTTACAAAATATTCCCATTTTAAAAAAATCTTGTTCTTTTGAACCTTCTATTCATCAAAGAATCCTAAAAAAATTTACCACTCTTTCCACATAAATATTAAGTGGCAACATTTCAACACTGATAATAAAAATAAATGTTTCTTGAGCAGCAAATTGCATATTGCAATGATTTCTGAAGGATCATGTGACACTGAAGACTGGAGTAATGATGCTGAAAATTCAGCTTTACCATCACAGGAATTAACTACATTTAAAAAAATATTAAAATACAAAAGAGTAATTTTAAATTATAATAATATTTCACAATATTACTATATTTATTTTATTTTAATCAAATAAATGTAGCCTTGGTAAGCATAGAGCATTAAAGAAATCCAAACATTTCAAAGGTGATGTATGTGGAAGACAATCAACTCACCAAGGTTCTTAGCAAATGTGATAACCTCCATAAATTCAAACTGTAAGCAGAAAAGCAAATCATTAATTTCTATAGTTAAAATAATATTAATTCATTAAACTTGAAAATATGCTGATAAAATAAAGTCCAAACGCACCACTAAATGAGAATTACACATGTAACATGGGATGACGGATGTACTGTACCTGCAGCGCTCTGGTCTGCATGTGGTTGCCATTATCAAAAGCAGCAAGCATCTTGTTCACTATGCATCCGAGGTAGTTATATGTGCTGCAGAGAACAGAGAGTGTGTTGCATGGTCTTCAGCAAAGCATTACATATAATTTTATATATAAGTTATATTTTTAAGCTACAAATGTGTCGAGCAGGTACTGGTTTTGCTGTAATCTATTGTCAAGCTATAACCTTTATATGTATCAGTTGTTTTCGAACTGATACACTTACAGTTGTTTTTGAAGTCTTAAAAGAATAGTTCAGTTCACCCAAAAATTAAAATTTGCTGAAATCACCATCCAAGATGTAGATGGCGAAAGCATTTTTGGGTGAATTATTCCTTTAAAATAATAATGTAATACAAAACTGAGGTTACACTAATGCCAATAAGAAAATCAGCCACAGGAGACACTGAATGACAGAATGCAAGAATCAGATCGACACCACAGCAGGAAAAACAGTGAATGGTCATGAATTCATGTCAACTTAGGCCAGAAAAAGTTATAGGATGGCGTGATGTTGGCACTTACCTCCCAACTGCTCCATGAACACCTAGTACCAAAGCTCCCAAGAGTTGCTGCAAAACAAAGTGTCAAGCAAAATATATAAAATTAAAACCACAAATTATTTCAATGTTAGTCTAGCAGGAAAAATGCACTAGATGAATGAGTAAGGGGATTTCATACCTCATCTACTCCGAACAGGACAGACCAGTTATGGGACTGACTGTAACAGACACACTGCCCGAGATCCCTCAGGTCAGTCCCAGTGTATTTCACTCCCTGAAATGAGGGGATCACCTGCTCTATCCCATTTAGCACATCAGCCGCATCGACTGAAAAAAGAAAAGAAAAACAGAGACTGGACTACAGGAGGAACTAAAAGTCAATCTCTCACATGTGAATAGGACTCATTCTGAACTGTGCAAAGAATTTACGAAGTTGTCAGTGTTTTGACTGCCAGTAATGATGATGTGTAGGAGCTGCACTTACATGCAACACCAGTCATGCTTGGAATATGATAATAATACATCGGAAGATCTGGAGCAAAGGTGCTCACTTCCTTTATAAACAACCTCAATGCATCTGTGAAAAGAGGAAGAGCAATTAAAAGCACAGTTGGAAACACATTTAACAAAAAAATAATAATTATGCAGTGTTATGCAGAAAACGGGGTTAAAACCTGCATTAACGGGTATGAAATAGGAAGGAGAGATTACTGCTATGCCATCGGCCCCTATACTGGCAGCATGCCGAGCCTGAGGGAAAGTAAAAAACATCCACTCAGCATTTTTAAACAGTCACGAGGAGGGAAATAGCCGTTTATCTGCACATGCTGAAACACCAATGGATAAGCAATAAATGACATGGAAAAGTGTTTGTGGGGCTGCTGTTACGAAAATGGAGAGTGTATTAACAAAAGTGGTATATGCGTGAAAAATGCAGATAACGCATGTGAATAAAAGGGGTTGTGAAGCAGTGTGCTCACCAGTTCTTGAGAGTCTTTTATACTCATGCAGCCAACATGAACAATCACTTGCTCAAGCCTGAACACACACACACACACACACACAGTACTTTTATGAGGGGAAGAATGTAATGAAGGTATGTATGCATTACGGTGTTTTGTCAACTATGGACACTTTGAGCCTTTTAGAAAAGACTTTTGGGACTTTTTGAAAATAAACTTCTTGCCATCTTTCCTCACACATCATTAACATTTCCACCACATATACAGCTCAACTGCTAACAACACCAGTCAAGAAGCTGATTCTCAAGAAATATATGGATAAATATCATTCTGTGTTGAAAATTACATTAATAGTTTTTAGGCCAACTCTTTCGTCAATTAAGATTTAGCTAGATTTGTATCGATCCTAAACACACACACACACAATTAAATATCATATTTGTTCTCACATTTTTATTAATAATAATAATAATAATAGGCCTAAGTGAAATTTAAAATGTATAAATAATTTTCACACAATAAATACTAAAACGGTTTATGATTTTCTCCTACTTAAGATTTTTGTAATTTAAATTAAAATTAATATTTCAAAATAATACATAAAATACAATTTAAAATGAAGAAAAGTAAAGAAAGGCATAGTAAATGGGGCACATACTAAAGAAAAAAAATCTGTTTTTCTGTTAACATTTTGTGAAAAATGTGTTAGTTTTACAGCCCCTGCCCCCTTAGACAGGTGTTGTAAGGGGACAGAGATTGTTGCCATTGCCCATTCTCACATAGCTGAATAAACACTAGAAATATGAGATAACTCACTTGCCCTTGCCATGTTGGCACCACACTGCAGCAAGCTGCTTCCTTTCATCCACAGTTAGAGAACAGCCCTCACCTGTTGTGCCATTAACTAACAAAAAGTTTAGATTACAAATAATAGAAATGAGAAAAACAAGCTGCCTTATTCCCCCAAACCTTTGATTAAATGAATAGGTTTGACTTACTAAACACACTCTTGACATTCTGGTTCTCTATTAGGTAATCAATGTATGGTCCAATTACAGAGAGATTGATCTCCCTAAAAACAGCAAAGATGAACATATCAATGGCCAGATCACTGGACACAAGGCGTATGTTTCAGTAACACTTTTATTGAGAAATGAAATATTTCACCCTTCTGCAGTGAGTGGTGTGAATGTAGCTGCCACGAGCCCAGTGAGCTTTTTAATGCTTCGAGACATCTCTGCATGCACAACAACACTGAGAAAACGTCAATTACACTAAAGCCCAACCAATTACATCTCAATTCGTTCCATATATATACAAGACAGTCGCTTACCTTCTCTCTCGTTCGCTAAACGTGTTTAATGAGCTCGGGCAGTAACGCTATTCACCGGACAGTGTCTGTACTGACCGTCGTACTGCGCTTGTGTGCAAGTCACATTACTGCACAAGACAATCGCGTGACCAGCATGTGACGCATGCTTATGAGGAAGCGCGGGCGTGTGGCTACATCTTGAAAAGTCAAATATATGTGAGAAACCAGGCAGTTACTTTTTTTAGAGGACCCGTATGCATTATATTAAGAAATGTGTTGTAGTGAATACATACAGTGTGCTGGGTTTGAATTCTTTCATTTCTTATTGAATTAATCGAATACAATATTTTTATATAAAATAATAAAATACACAGTTTCATACTCTCGCCTAGTTAGGTGACTTAATTCTGTAGTTCTCAAACAAAATGTGCGTCGTAGTAATAAAAGCATTCGTGTCATGTGGCAGAGGGACATTGTGGCTGCAGCATATTGTTTATTGGAGTAATAAATGATGTAAATTGGACAAAGTCCGTTTCTAACCGCATAAATATCTAGTAAACAAAACGTATTCACAATTGCATTACAACAATTAACAAATGAAATTTAAAGCAGACATTTATATAAAGTTCAATCTTTGTAAGATGCATAACAAAGAATATTAGTACGTTATTAATATTGTAACTCCTTAAACACACACATTTAGATTTACACAATAAGATTATTATTATTCATGCTTTCATTCTATATTGAGCTTTTATTCTATATTGAGATTCTACAGTTACACTGTTTATATGCGTTTGTTTTTTATTTGATCGTACTTGATTTTTTTCTGTGCTGGGATATGTTAATCGGACTTCTTTGTCTTGTTGAGGCGAATTTCACAGACTATGTACAAACGCACAACTAAACGTCGACATTATCACACTGAAGAAGGTATATAACGCATAGATATTTTTATTTATTTATTTGTACAAATTTTCTCAAACACACACAAAAAACAATAATCATCGAAAGGAATTCAAAGTAGACATACGACGTGTACTTTTAGTAAGGTATAACAAAAAGTATTAATATTTTAGTAATGTTTCCGGATTCATTTTTAAGGCATGCTGGGAAACGTAGTTTGTGCACTAACTGGCACCTCTTTGCTTACACCGTGAACGAACGGGGCGTGTACTCGGCGCTACCCGGATGCGGATGTTGACGTCCTCCTATGATCTGGCGTAAGACGGGTGAGCATATACTCGGCGACTGTGAGAGAGAGACCTCTGGCCCTTTGTATTACACCTGCCATAAAAGCAGTCTTAAACGGAATATTTTGTATTTATCGGAATCGGGGAGCTGAATGGACCTTCTAATCACTCATGGATGATCGAAGAACAGATTTAAAAATGTCTTTCCGCTAGTTACAGCAGCGTTTCCCCCTTAATAACATATGTTACGTTACTTAGTAACGTAAGTGCCGAACTGTCATCGACGGGTTAGCCGGCGAGCTAAACAACAAAGCGTGACGGGTTAAGGGGTCTTTTTTCCCCATCATATCATCTTGACAATACAACAAAATTGCTGGATATTTTATTTTATGAAAACGCCTCATCATTGTCTTCAAGGTTTAAACTTGTTTTCATGATCACGAAGATGGGATTGGGACCCGCATTCTATCTAACCAATTGCTGTCAGTTCTAGTAGGATCAATACGATTCTTTCTGGGGATGTAAACTGATGATCGTGTCACCCATGGAGATGGTTGCTGTTAGAGACGAAGCATCTTTTTCCATGGCCCCATCTGGAGCTCCTCTTGAGCCTGTCTCTGCTGGGGATCTACAGTGATGTAGTGTTGTTGCTGTTTTATAGGTGATGAGAGTAGCATGCAGTCGTGTCACATGGGTGCCAACGTGTTATCAAGGTGACACGGTGACAGGCAGGTGAGACAACAGCAGCTGGCTGAGTAACACTAAAGACAGGACGTGTGCGTTCGTGTGAGGAAAATTTGACTTGATCGTCCTTTCTTCCTTAGTCAATTCGTAGTAGACACTAGAAGCGTCTCAGAAATACACCTGAGCTGCATTCATCCAAGTGAGACGATTAGATAAGAACAGGAACTGTAAAGTTATTGAGCTGGAACAGTGAATGTATTCAAATGCTGTGGGTGTTACTAAATGTGCCCTGCATTATATTTTTTTGACATTACATTTAAAAATAATGGACCAGAGGTGGATGAACTCTAGCTTGGTGCTAAATAAGCACATCTAAGGCAGGAAAGAGTCGACTCAGACACCTACCTAAGGTGTTTTCATCTGCGTGAAGTCCATTGTGAAACCAGTGGATTCAAGCCATGTGGATGCTTCATTCTGCAACAATGTTACCTGCTTTTTTGCTGCTGTTTTTTATGGGAACCTCCAGCAGGTTTTCGGAGGCCATGAGTAGAGATGAGAAGAATAAACTGAGGTATGGGTCTATGTGAGGACACAATAAATTATGAATTGCTTGCTATATGATTCAAAACATTCTTTTTAACTTAAGGAATGCCTTTGCTTCTCAGGAACCAAGTGCTGGAAATGTTTGACCACGCTTATCAAAACTACATGGTATGTACACAGTGACTAATAACTTTTCTTGTTGACAGCTGGGTACAAGGAAATGTTAATGCTACTGTTCCATCAGGATCCAAAGTCTTGTGTTTAGTTTATATATTTGTTAGATTTTTTATGTTTTTGGAAGTCTTTTATTACCAGAGCTGCATTAATTTGAGTAAAAATACAGTAAAATCAGCAATATTGTGAAATATTATTAAAATAAAAAAAGGTTTCTGTTTTAATATATTTTACAATTTAATTTATTATTATTTATTAAGTTTCAGCAACCATTACTCCAGCGTTGCAAATCATTCTAATATGCTGATTTGGTGCTCAAGAAACATCTGTCTGTTGTCAATGTTGAAAACAGCTGTGCTGCTTAATATTTTTGTGGAAAATGTGATATATTTTTCTGAGGATTCTCTGATGAATAGAACAGCATTTATTTGAAATAGAAATCTTTTGTAACATTATAAATGTTTTTACTTATGGTTTTAAGTGTTGTTTTGGAAATATTTAAAAAAATATCTTCAAGTTCTGCAGAAGAAATAAAGTCATATACATTTGGAAAGACATGGATGTGAGTAAATGAAGCCAGAATTTTAATTTAAAGTATTCCGTTATAATTGCTAGTTTGCCAATAAATGTTTCTGACCAGTGTAAAATACTTCCCAGAAGCCTCTGTTATTCTGTAAGCACGCAGGTTGGAAACATAAGATGTGTGAAATGGAAATGCAATAACCTGTAGTTTAAAAAAAAAAAAAAAACACGCACAGGAGGGTGGCAAAAATAGGGGAGGCAGATTAATGTTTGAGAGAACAGCATTATAATTAAACATTTCATCCTTATTTCATCACATTTCATCTCGGTTCTTCTCATTTTGACAGGACCATGCCTACCCCGCAGACGAGCTGATGCCTTTGACTTGCCGTGGGAGAGTACGTGGATTAGAGCCCAGTCGAGGGGATGTAGATGATGCCCTGGGGAAGTAAGTCAGTTGGAAAGAAAATAAAGATGGAGACATGTAGAAATGTCTTTTTATCGATTTCTTTTCAAAGAAACGACAGAGATGAAAACGTGTTTTTCTGTTCTTTCAGGTTCTCGCTCACTCTCATCGACACTCTTGACACTCTTGCAGTGAGTAACATCTCAAACAGAACTTGAAACCTCATACAAACACTCATATGTACAGTCAAACCCAGGGTTGTTTGCTCATGACCTGCTCTGACATCTCACAGCTGTTAAATAAGACGGCGGAGTTTGAGGAGGCGGTGAGGAGAGTGGTGACGGATGTACGGTTGGATAATGACATTGTGGTGTCTGTATTTGAGACCAACATCCGGGTGCTGGGGTGAGTAAGACATTGCTGTCAGAGTTCCAAAATGGGCTGACAGAGTAAAAGACTACATTTTCAAACCTATAGTAAATTGTGGCTGTTTTGGTTGTGTAAAGCTTTACTGTTCTCCACAGTGGACTGCTGGGAGGCCATTCCATGGCTGTCATGTTGAAAGAAAGTGGCCGAATGGTCTGGTACCAGGACGAGCTGCTGCACATGGCCAAAGATCTTGGACTCAGACTGCTGCCTGCATTTAACACCAGCAGTGGCCTGCCTTACCCTAGAGTGAGTGAATGCACACATTTACAATATTAAAATGTCATCACTGGAATGATAATATGTCCCTCTTCCAGTTTTTTTGGAAATGAAATGGCCTTTTTTCTTCGTCTTGTTTGCGAGCATTAATCTCTATGCCTATACACACACACACACACACATTCAAATGATCTTGAATGACTGTCAGAAGTCTGCCTTAGGGAAATGAGCTCTGTGACTTCCCACAATGGCTGCACAATCTCATCATTAGCATGACCACCCCTTTCCCAGTTGCTGTCAGTTTATACAGTTTTGCTGTATAATCACAGAACATTCTCAACTTATTGCACGCCTCTCTGGAATACCTGATTCTGATTGGTCCATCATAGCATTCAGCGATATATTTTTTATATTGGCTGCTAAACTGTAGAATTAGATATCGTCTAAGAAAACAAATTTCCCGCTTAGAGTTATGTAATTTCATGTTTTGTAAAATGACAGCAGCCGGTTTGTTCTCAAATAATTCTGATTTAATAATTAAACCTTCTTTAATGTAGTAATATTAATTCTAATGTCCACTCTGATGTTCATCCTCATTTAATTATTTATTTACTGGAAGGAAATTAATACTTTTTTTTAGCAACACATAAAAATGATCAAAAGTGTCAATAAAGGCATTTATACTGTAGTTACAAAAGATTTCTATTTCATATAAATGCTGTTCTTTTGAATTTTCTATTCATTAAAAAGTCCTGAAAAAAATTGTATCACAGTTTCCATGAAAACGGGCATCTTAACCGTTTTCGACATAAAAGCACCAGATCGACTTGAGCACCAAATCGTCATATTTGAATGATTTCTGAATGCCCATGTGACACTGAAGACTGACGTAATGGCCATCACAGAAATAAATTAAATTTTAAAACATATTCAAATGCAAAACATGAATTTTTAAATCGTAATAATATTACTA